CTGTTGTCCTCCCCTCTACCACTCAGTTTCTATCATCTGGTAAAAGCTCAGAGTTTTGTATAGATCAGGGAAAAATGCAGGCCCTGAGAAACCTGTCCCTGCAGAAAGGTTCCCTTGGGCCATGCTTTGGGCTCTCTGCTCTTTATATTTTTATTCTAGTCTCCATTTTCCTGCCCTCCTCTTGCCCTCTGCCTAAGCTCAGCCCAGCTGTCTGCTGAGGGCAGCTCCTAGGCCTGGCCTGTCTAGTTTTCTCCTGTCGTCACCCAGGCTAGTAGCTTTGGTTATCCCCTTCTAGCTCCAAACCTAGTGCCTGGAGCTGCAGTACAGGGCATTGACAGGAGGGGACACATCTCTCTCCTCTCAGAGTTTGCCCCCTTACAGCCTGGCTCCGAGGAGGCAGTTTTCCTCAAGGGGACTATATCCTGGCTGACCCAAAGTCTCCAGACCTGGAGGGACTACTGTGCCCCCCTTGTCTCCATCGTGCTTTCTGGCTGGATCAGTTCAGAGACCATTTGGACTGTTGGAGCCCAGCACCCCACTAGATTCCCCTGCCAGAGTCCGTGTGTCCCATTAGCTTCCCTTTGAAGGGGGGTGGGGGAACAGTGTGGCTGGTGCTCAGAGAGAGAAGAGCGACAGCGGCGGAACTCGCGCATTCCAGTCCTACCACCCGCCTGCCTCCCCTCTGCCTCCCAGCGCCGTGCCAGGCTTCACCCCGGGGCGGCAGCTCAGTCCTCAGCAATAATCTCGAGTGTGGGGGTGCTTAGGGTTCCTTGGAAGGGCAGGAGCAAAGAGGGCAGTGCTGTGGGCTGGAGGCACTTGGCCAGCTGCTAAATTAGACCCCGGTTTTATATCATGCCCCCTTTTTAAGCCGGAGCTGGGCTTCAGTTTTCCCCAGGCCATGCACACTTTTAATTTATTTGACAAACTCTAATTGTATTTTCACTGCAGTATCTTGTATTTTTTATTTGTGATTTAAGAAATGTGAAGAGAAAATACACAGACACATAATGGCTAACAGTGTTTCTTTCATTCCTTGTTCTACAGCTAACCACTCTAAAATTGTTTGGTAATGTCACTTAGTGTAATTAATTGTAACATATTCTTTTAAATAAATTGATTTATTGATGAAACTAGTCTATGCCTTCCTAGACTACCAATCCTTTGGGTTGTGTGGGAAGGAGTGAAGGAGGGGCCTTTGAGATTGGGGTTAGAAAGATCTGTCTGAAGATGGGAAGGAACACCTGGCTGGTCCTCCTATGAGGGCGGGAGATAGAGTCAGGCAGGAAGAGGAGAAGCCGGAAGGCCCTTTGCCTAAAGTTCCATTTCCAGTGACTCCTATGAAAATGCCTTCTCCTCCCTCAGGTGTGTCTGTATTAGTTGTGCCGGCCGGCCACGGGCAAGGCTTACAGAGCTCGTTGGCCTCTCCCAATAGAGCCCGGCACTGTCCCTAGCCCCAGCCACGTGATGCACTGTTTCATTGTTCAAGTTCGGTAGGAAACTGGGGTCTGGGACCTAATG